AGGGAGATGAACCACTTAGGCTGTCTCTTCATCTGCAGCAGCGAAGGGGTTAATAACAGGGGAGGGGTGCGTTCATACAAAGGAATCTAAAGACAGTGACAGTCGCCATGGAAACCAGGGAGGCAATTTCTAAAATCATTAGAAGAAACAGGGATGAGGGAAAGTGGGGGGGAATAAACAGAGGGACTGACAGAGGGAGAAAATAGGAGCTCAGAAGGGGGTTGTATTATAGACCAAGAAAAAAGCAAAGAAAAAAAAAAAAAAAAAGGGAAAAAAAAAATCCAAAAAGAAAAAAAAACAAAAACCAACAAGACCCCCAACAAAAACAGGGAGGAACAGAAAATCGATAATGATAATACACGCATCAAAATGGCTTCCCGTAGCCTTCTGAAGCCCGGGGTATCACACAGGCCCTGGGCATGTTTGTACAGGGGAAGAGGGGGCTGTGTGTAGACATTCGCACACGCTCACTTATGTACAGGTACACACAACACACGTGCTTGAATGCACGATGGCACGCAGGCTCCACCTTTGCTTAGGCCCGAATCCACAAGGCTATTATACCAGGGGTGGGCAATGTCAGCACTCCAGCTGTTGGAGAACTACAAGTCCCGCGAGGCAGAAGCATGATGGGATTTGCGTTTTCAGCACAGTTGGGAGGGCTGGGGTTGCCTACCTCTGCGTTATACAAAATGTGAACCAATGGTGGAACTCTTGGCTGCAGCAAGCACACTTAATCATTCAAAGCAAACAAAGAGGCAGATTTATGGAAAACTAGCGAGTCGTTGCCTACAACAACCAGGTACCTTGGTGCCTTTAAAACATGGTTTCTATAGGCAACAGCTCCACTTCCAGCCTTCACAAAACAGCTGCAGTATGATATGACAATATGAATGTAACATATGAAAATGGAGCAAAAATGGATCTTTCCGTAGCAACCAGATTATTGTTCCAGAATTTACTAAAACTGAAACAGACAAACTCTGGAGCAGTTGCCCAATCAGCTTCTAGCATTTTCAAAACTTAACCAAATAGACAGAAGCTTATTGGTTGCCATGGACAACTGCTCCAGATTCTGTCTACTTCAGTTTTGCTAAATTCCCCCCATTCTACTTACCATTTTGGAGGTCCGTGTCTTGAACCCCCCCCCGACCCTCACTACAGGTATCCTATACTTCCAGGTGTGTGAATATGTGCTACCCCCACTGCATGCAATGGTTCCTCCAGCCAGCTGATAGGTCACTGCAGGGCATATGAGCTGCCAGGAGAAACCACTGCACGTGGCGGAGGAAACCAGTGTTTGACCCATCCAAACGGTTAAATACTTGCAGCGCCCGGAGGGAACATCATAGCATTTCAAAACAAGGGCAAGTAAGGAAAGTATAGTGCTTCGTATTTCTTTTTTTTTCTGCATTCACTCAATGACAGGGTCACTTTAAAACGTGTGATACTGCAATGCTTGGCAACGCATGAAGCGTGGCGTGTTGGTGGTCATACTGAATGGCTCCCCAATGCACCTAAACAGCACCACCTGTGCGTTGTGATACTCAAAATAGTACACATCTGCTGCAATATGCATTGTGGTTCATTGGCAGCCCATTAAAAATGAAAGGGCTCAATTAACTTAACACATGTCAATGCAACCCAACAAATAATTGAGGGCAGGGACTGATGTGAATGTGCAACTATGTAAAGCGCTGCGTAAATTGTCGGCGCCATATAAATACCTGTAATAAAATCGGCCCTTAGGGTTCATTAACAGCCCTTAGGCCCTTAGGGTTCAGTAACAGCACTTAGGCCCTTAGGGTTCAGTACAGTAACGCACGTTATTATTGGTCAAATTATTTCAATTAAAAACATCTTTCATAACGTTTCTAGCCCAAGTTATTTTTATTTACTATGCGTTATTCTGTTTTATTCCATTTAGAAACGACTGTATGTGCGTTCTTTCCTACGCCATATCGCTGGCTACCGACCAACATTAATTATAAGGTGCTGACACCTCGGAGCCACCCAGATTTGCCAACTAGAAGATTCCAAGAAACAAAATAGCGACAAGTTAAATAACCAGCTGTGACATGGGGAAGAATAACACGCGAGAGATTTAAGCTGTGTGAACGGGAAATCTGGACAAGAAAATTATTGTAAGTTAAAATAAACGCCAATTAGGGCTGCGTGTTAACAACGTGCAATTTGGTACCCGGGTTTAAAATGGACTTTGCCGCACTGATGTGTGTTTTCAATACACAAAAATACAGCAAAACCTGGTTCAGTTTCTAGCAACTAAACAAAGGAAATGATGGTGGAAACCAATTGAACATGGCTAGCTGGAAGGAGTTTTTGACCGATTTCCATTGTTTAGTCACTTGAAACTGTAAAACGATTCAAACCGTCGGTGTCAGACGGTTGATTGCGGCTTCAAAATTGCAAAGCATACGACCAGAACTTGGGTGCTCCTACGCACACAATGAGAAACTGCCCATCCGTTCCCAAGATGCCATACGAGGCCCTTTCTTCATCAGATCTGGCTCGGCAAGACATAAGCAGGCTATCCAGTACAAAGGTGCAATGACCAAAGAAAAGGATCCATGCCAGCCAATTAGAATCCATCTTGTGCTATTTTGGCTTCGGTAAAGTGAATTCTGATTGGCTACTATGGCTTACTGCCCTTTGTTCCTTGCACTTTTTTTTAATCAAATGAGCCCATAGGTAGTTTAACATCTTGATAGTAGTAAAAAGATATATAGCACCAGCGCCAAAAAAGTAACTGCTCCTGAGAATAGCTCCAAGAATCTGGGGGCAGCTCCTCGCAGTCATGGAAAACCGGATGTCTAATGGAAACAAAGCAAAAGGAGCGCCTCCGTAGTGTAAAACTGATTTATTAGAAGTAAAAATGACAGCTGAAATGGTACTTACAAACAGCCAGTAAAAACAAGCATAGAGAGATAAAATCTCAGGACACATCAAGATGGACAAACAAAAATATGGTAGGTAGTGGAAGTATTAGTGCTGAGCTGAGGCCATCTGCACACTGACCCTCCTTCGGTTGACGCGTTTCAGAGGCCAAGCCCCTTTCATCAGAACCTGAAGAAACCCCATCTCTAAGAGTCTTAAGAGCCAGGTAGAGATGGGGTTTCTACACTATGGAGGCACTCCTTTTGCTTTGTTTCTTTTAAACATCTTGTTGAACTGGATTATCAAGCAAATTTAAAGTGATGCACAAAGCCAACAAACTCGTCTATACAGCTGTACCTGTAAACAGTAGAATGCGTATTTAGGTATTAGTGAATCTCAGCTTTCAGAAAGGCCAGACAGAGTTGACCAAACTGAGCCTTCAAAGAACCAGACTGAGAGTTAAAAAAAAGGCCAAATGACCTACCTGTACTATGTACTATCTATATCTACATAGACTTTCAGACATCTCTGAATAAAAATGTTGAATAAAGAATTCCACAAAACTGATAAGATTAAATGTTTACATATCAAAATCTTGTCTGACTTGTGCAAGCTATTACCCAGTTGGCGTGCTGGCCCCTAAGCATCATCATCATCATCATTTGCAAGGATCAGGTAGTGTATATAAAATTAAATGAAAAGTAGGATTGTTCTAAACGGTTGAGAGTATGCCGCAATAGCTGGAGGTCTCCCAGCAAACGGGATGATTTATATGATTTGAATGTATGATGTGATATAGTTGGGGAGAAGATATAAACTGCATTGTGATGTATAAAGCTGTACCTGCAGACAGTAGAATGTGTATATCTAGCCTTTAGTAAATAGCTAGTTGGCAACAAACATATCTTTTTCACTTGACAGGACATCTATACAGCATAATACACTGTGGGTTGGGTGTTCTCAGGAGTTACACGAGCAAACTGGCCTATAGAAAATCAATCACAGCCTCGATATTCCAGGCACATTGGGTTGGATGTACCAGAATACAAAGTGAATTCATGTGTGTTGAACCATTGAACACTATTTCCAGCTCAGCATTGAGGGTTAACAGCAGTAATAGGTACCAAGCATTCCCATTTAAACCCCAAGTGTAGGAGGCCTTCTGAAACATGTTCTTGCCATCTAGTTCTACAAATGTAGTGTTTCTAAATCATACCAGCTTATTCAGACGAAAGAACCAAAAGCAGAATTCATATTACTGATTTGGGGAGACACCGAAAGGGCTGAACCACCCAACATATTCTTATCAGGTTCAAGACTCGTATCCCAAAACAGTAGCAAGAGGGACACCCAAAATGGGTAGATGGACCTTGTAACTTAAAGAGGTTCTCCTGCCAGTCTACAAAGATATGTGGGTGAATAAACCAGTCAGCATTCACCTAAAAGTTGAATATAATTTTTGGAGTAGACCTCAAATACTACATTTTGTAGTACACTTAGGACATCTACACATTGGAAATAGTCAGATGTGTTAATAAAAATACATATACATTCCCCAAGCATTCATTCACACAATTTTTCACACTAACGCATCAGTCTACAGGGATATCAGCACACATTGACCCCCTCTCCAGTTCTGTAACTTTATCTCCAACAGCATTATGAAAAAATAAAGCCCCTACCCCCCTCCCCAACCCTGTCATAAACACAAAGTTCCTAGTATCAACTGTATTCATAACCCAGCACCCCCCCCAAAAAAAAATTAAACATAAAAAAGGGGGATAGGGACAGAGGCCTGGGGAGACAAAAATTCTCACACACCTTACTGCCACCCCCCGTGCAGAAGTGAAAGATATATATATAATTTTATTTTCCCTTCGGAGGTAGTCAAACTTGCGAACGTGTGAACATAAAGAAAACTCAGAAAAAAAAGAAAAAAAGTCTTCTCTATTGGTTATGTGAGCCGCTATGAGGTAATAACGCTGTTCTTTGATTGGCCGAGCCTCAAGGATTCTGGGTAGACTCTGGAGGGAAGGAGCGAGGAGATTTAAAGTCTTACTTTCCGTCTTTCCTCCTCACCTCCCATATCAGTTCTTCTTTCTTGTTTTTCCACACCCCCCCCCCCTCTCCTTCCCTCAATGTCAATTGTCATCCTTTTTGCCTCTTAGGATCTCCACCTTATGTAACCTGTTTTATGTTTATCCATAAATCCACTCTTAATTTCTCCTCTGCCGGCGACTCCTCTCTCTCCTATTTACTCTGTATTTGGGTTTCATTGTCACCTTTTATGTTCTCATTTATCTTTGTCACGGTCACCCTGGTACAGCGGATGATGTGATACATTCATATTCCTCCACTGGACTGTACACATGGAGGGTGTTTTTTGGAAAACAGGCTGGGAGAGATTTGAATTTCCCCTTTCTTCTGAATACACGCAAAATGTTCTTTTCTAGAGTGACCATCTAAAGTTACTCCAACTTGTCATGTTTAGAACAGCCAACAGGATGTGTAGTTACTCTTTGGGTACAAGTACCAAGACAAAGGTTTTTTTTTTTTTCTTTAAAAGGTTGCCTTTCCTTTATCGGCACTCAATTTACAGAATATAACCTCTGGAGGTTTCAAAGCCATTGTTGTCTTGGATCAGTTTCATAGTATTGAGGCTCACTTGAAGAGAGAGGTAAGAGGAAGCATGGGTTGAACGAGAAGTGAAGGGGGAAAATCCCAACATTCTCTTGTCCTATGTTGACCCAAGTTCAGTTCAAGGAGAGACCATAGCTCGCCGGAGGGGTGAGAGAGGAGAAACCCAGAGAGGAGGAGAGTGCTCAGTTAGAGGTGTCAGAATGTACACTGCCTGGTCCTTCTGTTGGGGAAGTGACAGAAGAGGGAGTCACTGCCTCTTGCCACCCTCCGTTGGCCTAAAAACAAAAAGGAGACATTTGTTGAAGACAAAAAGGAATGTGCAATCGGACTTAGTACAAATAATAATGTATTGGAGAAGGGTACAAAATACAAGAATTTCTTTTAATCTTGAAGGTTTTGATTGTATGATCATTGCTACGTTAGGTTACTCTTTGTAGCTTACTCTTTCTTTCAGCTCCCTGAAGCAAAAATGCTGGGAAAACCCAGTCCTGCCACAAATTAATCTCTCTGCACTGTAGAACAAAAACCTTTTTTTAAATGTGGCAACCCCCTTCCCTGTTCAACCTTTAAGATGACTTCCTTACGACAAGTCTTCTGAGATCACGCACTTTTATTTTACAGCATGACTATATTGAACGTATCATGCATATTTATGTTCCTTTTTATGTTTCTAGGCAGATGGGAACTATAGGTTTTAAAGCAGAATTCCCAGAATGCCAAGCAAACACCTAAATAGCAAGTTAAAATACATATATGATAACGATTCCTGCTAAAGGATTTGTAATTCTGTGAAGCCAGTTCTAAAATCAAGGAAGATAGCACAGCTACGCTCTGGACCTCCCTCCGTGCAGACCACACTGTAGGTAAGGAATACAGCCGGGTCTAGGAACTGCCCATCGGGTAGCTAGATGATGAATCAGAGGCAGATGCCGATGTGGTCATCTATGTGCTCTGTTCTGACTTGCTAACCCTCCCTCATCTTGCTGTACAGGGGATTGCAGGTGACAGACATCAAATCAGATTCATGCGCTTTTGCTTGCGCATAGAGCTCAGATTTAAAAGTCAGAGAACAGTGCCTACCTACTACACTCAGAGTTTGCTGCCCTAGACAGCAGCCTGTCACACACATCCCAAGCTAGTAATGTGTGGGGCTTAGGTGGATGGCACTCAATGTAGGAGGGAATGCTACAATATTTGGCCAGGGACTAAACATTTCCAAATTGTGCTAAAACCTTCATACCTTAAAATTACAAGGGCAATGCCTACTATTCCCAACCTACTATCCCCAGCATGGTTCACTACAAAAGAGAAAAGGGCTTAGTACCCTATTTAGGTTCTTACCCGGATCTCCCGAGGACTGTACATCTGATTTGCTGATAAACTGTCATTGTAACCAGGACCCATCGTGTGACGCAAGGACTCCACCTGTAAGAAAATAAACATTGAGAAATAAAGTCAATTTGAAAAAGGACAAAGCAGAGCAAGTATACAGAAGGAGGGAACAGGAAAAATAACATAGGACGTGAAGAAATTTTGATAAAAGGTGTGATGAAGAAGTACACCTGAATGACACATAGGGAAGAATCTATGTAACACAACAGAGGAAAGGTTAGCAGAAGACATATAGAGCAAGGAAGGGAAAAAAATAATAGCAGTGGAGGGGACCTAAAACTGACCTGTGAAGGGGGATAAGAATCCCCGTTTAAGCCCTGCATCGCCATGAACATGTCATTAGATCCAGACAGGTTGAATGAGCCACCAGAACCTGAGAGAAGAACGAGATAGAGGAGAAAATAGAGGATTGAAGAAGCAAAGTGATGGAGTTTTAAAAGTTAGAGAGTAAGAAGCCAATATCAGATGGTTTAGAGGAAGGCAGGACAAAGTGTCAGAAGGTTGGGGGATTTGCAGGTGGGGTGGAGAATTAGATGTTTCACAAGATAGAAAGATAGAAGAAAATGTCAGCAGGTTGTGGAAATATTGACATGGAAACAACAGATGTAGTATTGTGGAAACAGAGATGGAAATAAGAGTTAGTGGATCCCAGAGACAAAAAAATGGAAGTGAGTGCAGAGGAGATGGAGAGATGGACAAGCATCCAAGGGTTAATAAGACATTGACATGAAACAAACAGTCAAGAGGGTCGAGAAAATGAAGAAATTGAGGCAACAATACATTGAAAGGACATAAAGGATTAAGGAGACAAAAGAAGAGACACATAATCAAGAGGGTTCAGAAGATAGAAGGAAAAATGTCAGAGTAGGTGTCAATTGGGAAGCAAACAGTTGTAGAGATAAATGGATGAGAGAGAGTGGAGAAGATAGAAATAATATGAAGCCGCAAGAAAGCGAATGAAGGTTGATGAGGTGGAACGAATATATAAGCCAGGTTGGGGGAACATATAGAAACATTAAAAGGGATTAGGAAAACAAAGAAACCATCGGGCGTTAGTGGGTTGTGGAGTTGGAATCAACAGTCAAGGAGACAGGTAAGGAATCAATAGTTAGCAAGTTTGCAAGAGGGCACATAGGGTCACCGGGTTAAAGTGCCACAGCAAAAGAGAATAGGGGATACGAATGTTTAGGATGCAGAAAGCAAAGGATTGAGAAGGAAGAAAGAACAGTAGTTAGATGGGACTGCAGCCTAATGTTATGGGTAAGTTAACTAGCCACCCAGGTGCAAGGTGACTTTCTACAGAAGGTGATTACCTCTACAAGATCTAAGTTGCAGCTCTATAGACCATATTCTTAGAACAAGCCTCCCTAATTGCCCCAAACCATAGAAGGGAACCTACCTGCAGAGGTTGGGGTGGTTGGAGAGTTGGCTCCACTGTGACCTCCCTGGGATGCACTGACTGCTGTCTTCACTGCATAAATATTTGCCTCCTCTTGGAATTTTCCAATGTTCTTCTTGTACCTAATTCTTTTATTCCCAAACCAATTGGACACCTGTGTGGAGACAATGAGCCTTGGTATTCAATGCAGAAAGGACTTAGAAAGCACCACAGACATAAAATAACCCAAAATTAATCATTGATATTCAGCCCGTCAAGATCATGTATATGTTATATCTGAATTGTACTTCTCCAAATTCTACCTATACCTAGGAACTCAAAATCCTTGCACACCTTCACTGAGAAGCAGTGGATTTGGGACTTTCAGAAAGGAGGATGGTGAAAAATGCACCAAAAAGTAGTACATAGACTTTCTATATTATTTCTCATTATATCATTATTCCCAGCTTAAAACTAAATGGTTTGGAAAGAGTAAGGGGTGGGTCAGATCTTCCGTAGATTCACCCCTTTGTATGTCCTGGTAATAGTTGTTAGGAGACAACCCAAAATTTTAGAGTCGTTAGAGCAAAATTTAGGGGTAAAAAATCTTCCGATGGGACTATTGGTGACTATTACCTAAGATAGGAGTTACTCTCACATTGGGGATATTTTCACACACTTCCTGTTGCGATTTGGGAAAGGAAGTGGAGGAAAATTTCCTAGTGGGGCACAGACAACAAAAAAGTAGCCTGACATTGGTTTTAACCCTTCCCAGCTATATTCAAATAAAACTGAAAACTTTTTTTTGCCCTTAGATACACTTTAATATTCTTAAGACATAAGCAATCTATCACTTTCCTTGGTAATGACACAAACAACCCAGAACGTCCTTTATTACCTAACTGGCATCTGGATGTCTAAAAGCAGGAACGGTAGAGGGAGGCTCATTAAGATGGAAATGTCCTTTTTATGTGTCACTGTACCGCTTAGACCAGCCTTTCTCAGCCTTTTTGGAACCCTTCAAATAATGTTCAGGTCTCAGTAAAACCCTGAAATAATGTTCTGATCTACAGCTCACTGAACATTAGCTAGATCACCGAAATGTAGATAGAATAGATCACCGAAATGTAGATATAATAGATCACCGAAATGTAGATATAATAGATCAGTGATTTGTAGATATAATAAAGTATAAATAATAAAATGTACACAAACTGTGCATTGGTACTTAGCAGTAGCCTGCAAGGGAAACTGAAATCACCATTGCAGTGGTTTCTGGCCAATGGTGGCTTCAGTTTCCCTTGCACTGGTGCTTAGCGGTAGCCTGCAGGGGATACCAAAGCCACTGTTGGGAGCGTAGGAATCCGTTGCAACTGTGGCAAGTGGTGGAACCCCTGGGGACCTCTCCATGAACCACAGCCTAGACAATACACAACTTTGGCTTTGGTGCCATGTTCTATCACAAGAGGCCATTAGCCTAAACACTAGCTATTTACAATCTGCTGTCACACAGACAGGTTTCGATAACCAATTGACCAATAATATCGACATGGTACTTCAATTTTACCTGTGAAACAGTGATGCCGCATTTCTTTGCAAGCTCCTCTTTTGCCTCTTCACTAGGGTAAGGGTTACTTAGGTGTGAGTAGAAGTATTCATTCAAGACTTCTGTGGCCTGTTTACTGAAGTTTCTTCGCTTCCGCCTACAATAAAAGTAGATATTTATATATATGGAGCATAACAAGCAACATTCTACTAAAAGAGTTCAAGAATGATCATGGTTGATTTGGTCAAGTAAGCAAAGCATTTTTCTTAAAGTAGATGTAAGCAGGGGTCCCAACCTGAATGAAGCAATTTCAGGGAGGTGCCCTTCTCATTTCAGGGGGGGGGGGGGGGGACAACCCCTCAAATGATGGCAGATAGCACAGAAGCAATAGCATCTGTGCTAACTGCAGGTTTTTGTTTTTTTGTATTCTGGCAGCTGCTGCCGTCAGAATAATAATAAATAAAAAACCAGCATAGGAATGCATAGCTAGAATGCTATTGGCTATTTCAATTTGCAATATCCAATAGCAAGCTGGCTATTGCACCCGCCCTCTGCTGCTGTCAATCACTAGAAGACGACCTGATGGCGTAAACCTTTCCAGGAGAAAGTGTCTCTCTCCCGGGCGGCCAGGAGCCGCTATCTAATAGCGGGAGACTCCCGGAGCGTCCAGGGATGTCTGTGTAAGTCGAAACCAGGGGTAGCCGAACTCCGGCCCTCCTGCTGTGGTGAAACTAAAAATCCCATGATGCATCTCACTCCGGGAGTCATGTCTGTGGCTGTGAGAATCTTGCCATGCCTCATGGGATTTGTAGTTCCACCACAGCTGGAGGGCCGGAGTTTGGCTACCCCTGGTCTAAACTGACATTTCATTTTCTAAACTACTAAAGTAGGCATCATAAACAATTGCCAATTGTAAAAATAAAACACTTGTTTTCTCTTTTTTCATTCTATGTTACATCTGCTATGCGCTGCCTATTACTTCTAGCATCTTTGCAGCCACTTCATATGCCTACATGCAACTCCAACACATTTCTCGGGGTGGGTTTCCTTATGGTAACAACAGTTGACCATTTCTGCGTATTGAGTGCTGAAACAGCCAGCAATAGGCAGATTAGAACATCCAACATCTCATCCTTAACTGCTGCCAATCTAATCTACAGCAGATTTGGTCATCTAGGGTGATGGCCACAGCTCTTCGTCTTGGGGAGCATTCACCAGTCTACAAATATCTTCCATAAGAGCATTTCCATATCCTAAAGGACTGTGAGTCTCCAAAGTTAGCAGCTACATAAGCCAATGCATGGATAGCTGGGCCTATAATAAGCTCATGTATAAGTACCTTTAGGCCACTGACAGAAGATTACCACAAACTGAAGGAAAGCTACATAATGGTTTTGTTCCAGAATAGGGTATCCAGGACTATATATTTTCTACAAAATATCTATTCTTTACCGTGCATCCAAGAACCTTGACCGGAGGATCATGACTGCTTCACACGTGCTTTGCTTTAGCTGCATCTGGATCGAGCTGAACTTTCGGTGAATAATTCCCACCATCCTCTCAATCTCCTTCGGGGAGATGGGTCGTGTTCGGCTCTGTTCCCTCAGCAAGTTCATGACGTGTGTAGTGAATTCGTTGCATGCCTGAGTGGAGAATTAGAAAAGGAGAGGTAGAAACAAATTAGGATGTTGGGAAATAATTCAAAGATGGGAGGATGAACCGACATAGTATATATTCTAACTTCCACGGATTTCCTCTCACCTGCTCATACTTCTCCAGCTCGGCATGATATATCTGTCGGATTTGGGATAGCTTGTTCCTGTAGTCCGAGTGTTCTATGGAGTTGTCGGGAGAGACACCGCCGGAGGCTGCGGCTGCCGCGGCTGCTGCCGCCGATCCTCCACCCTTTTCTGGGCCCGCCACACCTTCCGCAAGTAGCATGTTGTCTAAACGCATCAACTGAGGGTCCACGGGTTCCTCCTCCTGAGAGTTTCGAATACTTAGCCCTAGAGAAGAGGAGACCGAATTTCGATTAGGTAAAAAAAACTAGGAACATGTACTTTAAATAACGTTTATAAAGTTTATCTAAATCAAGGTGAAATCATAAACTAGAAGCAGACAAATTCCTGTAGAATTCAGCAGCCATTCAGTGTAATATAAAATCCAGAAGACTATGTTCATTTTACCCATTCAGGTAAAGAATAACCTTCCACCCTCTTATAATCAATCTTTCCAGAGCTCCCACCCTCCTATGTCCCTGCGGTGGAGCTGGGAGTCCAAACCAAGTATAAGCTCCATATCAAAACCTTATCATTTGGTATCAGAGCTTACACAGGGTTAACGACCTACTCCTCTCCCTTTCATGACTGTGTTTAGGCCTGACCATTGGCTGCTCAAGCCCAACCGCTGCCTCTTGGAAGAAGGGAAAGAGGTCACATGCTCCCTCAAACTTGGAAGCATTTACCAAGCATTCCATTAGGGCAATGATGGAGAGCAGCGAAGGCGAATTCCAGGGGGTGGTAGGCTGTTCTTTCGAGGAACCTATCACTATGCTAAATGGAAAAAAGCTAAACTATAGAATATCTTCAACAAATACAACATTTACGTTATTAATGTAACATTTGTCTGAAATGATTTTTTGGAATTCTCCTTTATGTACTGTTCCAATATTTTGATTATTATAGTTCATATGCAGATATGTGTATGCTCCATCTACTGGTTACATGTATATCAGGGGTGTATCTCCTACCCTTTGGGGCTTGGGATGGTGGAATGTATCTGAGATCCAAGTTAGCAGCTCTTTCCTTTATAGGATCACTTTAAATTGTGAACAGGTTCTGCTCCTCAGCATATATATCTTTGAAAACCTCAAGAACATCAATATACATTAGAGATTCAATGTAATAGCAGCCACTTACATTCAGTGTTTGTTTCAGATTTCATCAAGAAAGTGGACAACCAAGAAGTGCAAAAGGGATAGAATTCGAATGGATGGTTTAGTTAGGCCCTCACTCTACATAGTGGTGCGTGAGAAATTTGGCTGATCTGACAGATGAAATCTGAAGCTCTTCTCGGCCATCTTTGGTACACGAAAATCTGGGACATTTGGAAGGAGACAAACTTCCAGGGACAAAAACTAAGGGACTAATCATCCTGGAGACAGATGGTAACTATTCATGCTTAGCTAGATACTGTCTGGCAAGACATGCCAAGACTTGAGGTCCCCGGAAAGCCGAAGCGTCAGGTTCCCAAGCGGAAATTGCAATGCGTCCTGAAAATTTAATATAATATTTTTTTTTTCTGTGTGACCCCACAACGCTGTGTGAACAAGCCTTGCAAAGGCACTGGAAGACATCTTGCTGCCTCCATGCAGCTCACCTGGTGCCTTCCTTGTGGATAATGATTTGCATTATCCTGCTAATCTTTGCATTATCCAGATAAGTTTCACACATTATCCCAGCACAGTGTTTCCTGGCTTACCAGCCCTTCCCCCCTCCCAGCCAATCCCCTCCTTCAGACAAACGAGAGGCTCCCAGCCACCGTCGCTGTGGAGACGAAAGGAGGGAAGAAGTGATGGGGCGAGGGAGGAGAGGGGCAGGCTCCATCTCAGGTAGGGCCAAATGTCCTGTAAAAGTAGACGTACATCTAGGAAACGCAGGAATTTGTGAATGGTGGCTTGAGTTTCCCCATGTTGCTTCCTTGTGCAACAAATATTTGTGTTATCCTGGAAGTGAGCCACACTATAGACCGGCCAATATTTTCAGGCATTGCAAATGCATCTATTGTGATAATCAGGCAGTGTACAATGCAAAGCGGACAACAGTGGCGCAAGTCATGTGACCGAAACGAGCGTCAAAATCTCCCATGACGTCGAGTCATTTTTACTTCAACCAACAGATACAGGACAAGGACACGTAGCCATAATGATCTGCTGCTAATCACCTGCATTGATCCAGTGCACCATTGCAGCTACATGCATTTGTCAAAATGTCTGACCGCAGATTTGAATGGCCCCGATTATCTAAAGGAAACAGTAATTGATAAGGAATTATAATCGGTCGTACAGCTCGCCGCACTTGGTCGCAATCAGGCACGTATATGGACACACCATGCCATTGCATTCAAGGATGACTACATGCAGTCGCCAATAGACTGACCATAGATGCGAATGGTCTTCTCTGTTGGAAACCATAATCGTTCATGGATTAGGTCAGTGCACAGCTGCCCAGTCTTGGGCCTAATTTACTGAAACCTTAGTGATCAGGTTATTGATCGCTCCCATTTCTCTACAGGAAAAAGGAACAATCCCCATGTACCACAATCAACTATAATTCAGGCAGAAATGTTGGGGTCGGTCAAATTATGATTTCAACCAAGACCCATGAGCACAACCTAACTACTAGACAACCACTACACAACTGTTTTCATGAGTGCTGCCCGAGTTCATTAAAGTGGATCCGAAGCCAAATTTTTTCTCAGACTGCTGAGGTGTTGGGAACCATGCCAAAGTCTCACTGGGGAGATCCACCATCTTTTTTTTTCCTGGTGATCATTGCCACCAAACTAGAAGCAAGAGAAAGTCCAAAATGTTAAATGGTCAGCTGCTGCTTGCTGTACGCAGGTTTGTGCTGTAAACTGTACGTCTAGGGTTGTACACACATCACATACGCATGTCTTGGGTGCAAGTAGCGGTCTAAACCCATGTACAGCCATTCATTACTTTTGGCATCTGTACGTGGCAGCTGTGTATCCTAGATGTGGAAGTACGCCCGCAATTTACAATATATAGCCTCATGCTCCAGAGACTGATCGACTCACTGTGTCAAAGTACTTTGTAGCAATTGAAAAAGGAAATATATCTAAGAATAATAAGAAAAAGAGAAGCTAATGCCTTAACATTTGCCGCACATGGGCCCATGCATGCTGAATAATGACAGCATACTCCAGCGGGCTTTAGCAATGGAACCCGAACCATCAGCTTACCAGTAACAGCCGCGGGTTTCTACTCCTGCTATGGAGTGCTCCATAGAAGTGCAGTGTTGCTGTATTGTCCACTACTCTAACCGCAAGGCACCACAAAGCATGCACAGCGGGGCACAGGTTACCATGCGTTGTTAACTCACGGTATGGCATAAGTTACACCACACGTTAGCGCAACACAAATTTGATATTTTAAATATTGTGCAGCCCTCCGGACGTGTTGGGGGGCCACCATTGATGCCCCTTATATTCACCATGTTGGCCACCACTGCTTCAGACCCAAATATCTCTATTCACAATGCATGAAACAAATCCAGTTGCAAAGGGGTTAAACAACACTGCATGGTGTACAGGCTTAAGCAAACGAACTATGAAAGGCCAACAGCGTTCAGAGTGAATAAAGAGATTCATGTTTATTAATCAGGGTTGCGGACGGCGGACCCTTCCTGAACGCCTGTCTGACAGCTGCCGCGCGGGCCCACAATTAGACATTACACGGCAGCTGTCAGGGGTCTGAAAACTGCATCTGTAGTGAAGTAGGTGCTATTTACACAAGCGCTTTATCCCTTTATTACAATAGGAACAGGCTGGGGCGCTCGGGGAGAGAGCCACGATTGTCGCAAGGTTTTTTTTTGTTTTTTTTTATAAATCAGAGTGCCTGAAGGAAGAATTGTTCTTATTGCCCATTGCAGCTGGAGTGTGCCCTAAATTTCTGCAAAACAGTACAGGAAAATGAAAGGAAGAATGTGATTGGTTTGCTGTGGATAACGCAAGCAATTTTGGTGTTTTAATAAAAGCCAAAAAGTCAAGGACATGAAACATATACTTCTAGTATCATAGATCTGTAAAAGGAGGCAACCATATTTGCCTGTAACTGTTCCTTATGGCTCCTCATGTGTAAAGCCAGGCCACATGCCTAATACTCAATTGAAATTAAGGCTAGGCCCAGGGGTAAGCAGAAGAGGCGGCCACCTAGGGTTCTTCAGCAGGTGGGGGCACTAAAACAGCAGGACTGGCAACCTATGCTGCTGAGGTAGTTCACATCTCATGGCAGGACGTCCTTCAGCCTTGTCACCTTGGGTGCTAAAAGACCTTGTCCCACCACTGATTGGATTTCCCTCTCAAAACTCCACCAGCCTCATCACCTAGGCACAACTGCAGGGATCTCAAGTCTCCCTGATGTTCAGGGAGTCTCCCTCTTTTGGACAGCAGCTCCGTGATATCAGCGAGAGAGATATTTTCTCCCTGAAAGGTTTACTCTGAGTAAACCTTTCCGGTAATATATGAGTGGGAAAAGTTTGAGTGAGGCTTGCCTCCTGGAGGAAGGTCATGTGATCTCTAGAGTAGCTTCAGAACGAGGCTTGCCTCCTGGAGGAAGGTCATGTGATCTCTAGAGTAGCTTCAGAACGAGGCTTGCCTCCTGGAGGAAGGTCATGTGATCTCTAGAGTAGCCTCAGAACGAGGCTTGGCTCTCAGAAGGAAGAAGCTACTTGCTGCACAGAGAGGGCGGACATAGACTACTATTGAGAGAAGGTACAGGCACTGCTGCAGGGTTGAGAGAGTGCTGTTAACCCTTTGTGGATAATCTAGAATTAATTATATGTCCTGGTTGTCTAGTTATAGAGAACATTTATTTCATTTGCTGCCCATAGCAACTAGTCAACTAACTAGTGTATCAGGGACTTTACTCCTCAGCGTTTTTTTAAAAAGGTCTTGGGCTGTCTAATAAATTGTGACCTTTACACTGACAGATACTTGATCAATTCACAAATCTGATGTATATATATATAAATATATTGTATTATTATTATATGGAGTGTGTGTGTGTGTGTGTGTGTGTGTGTGTACTATCATTATTATTTCTTTTATATTCTGACGATGGCCGCTGTAAAAAAACAACCCAAAAAACGGAAAGGGCACCTCCCTGAAATGAAACGGCAACCTCCCTGAAATAAGGTTTTGCAGGTTGAGATGTCTGCAACTAACGGATCCTATACCTCACTTTTCCCTGCGTAGGTTGACCTTT